GTTTTTTTTCCAAAAAAAAAAAAAAAACTACTAAATTAAATAATTTTTAAAAAGTCCTATTGTTTGTCTGATTTGCGTCTACTAGGCAAGAAGTGGGGTAGGGAGAGGGAGAACTGGTCCAGTGGTGTTTGTTCTGCTTGGGATTGTGGGAGCCCAGGAGCTTGGTCTTGAGAAACTGGAAGAAAACCCGATGTTTCCCCTGTACACCAACACTGATGAAGCAAATGCAGAAAAGCAGCGCCTGGAGGAAAAACAAAGACTTTCCAGAAAGAAGAGAGAAGCAGAAGCTATGAAAGCCACCGAGGATGGTAATGAACTTGCCTTCTACCCTTACTTCTTGATGTGTGGAGAATCCCAGCCTAAGTTCATTTCCTCTCCCCACTTTCCCTTTTAGGCACACCGTATGATCCCTATAAGGCACTGTGGTTCGAGCGGAAGAAGGACCCTGTTACCAAGGAGTTAACCCATATTTATAGGGGAGAATACTGGGAGTGTAAAGAAAAACAGGACTGGACCTCATGCCCGGACATTTTCTGAAATGGCAGTAACAAGAGGAGGATCTGCTGGAGAAGAGGACAGAGGATGTGTGGGAAAGCTGGCAGTCGTGACTCTTTTACCAAGTGCTTTCCTCAAGTTTGTCTGTCTTAACCAATCATTTTTCCAAATCAATCACCAGAAGCAGACACCAGTGGTGGTGATTGGCTGGTTGCCTTAGCTGATTGAAACTGAAATCGACATACTAGATACCTATGTTTGTAAGGGAGAGGTTTAGTGGCTGAACGTTAGTGTTATTCCACATCTGCAAAGTCAAGTATTCTTGGCTCTTCTTTCTCCCTCTGCCCCATTTAAGATGATGTCATTCACCCTCCCCTTGTAGTATTCTGCTCAGCCAAGATCTGCATAAGATTATGATTCAGGGGCATATTGGTGCTGTTCAGAACAAAAGCTGATTTTAGAAGTTCCTTTAAAAAGAAACACATACAACTTGCCAACAGAGGCATCGTGAATGGTTGCAGTGGAGCGTAGGTATGACATTATCAACACATGGGGTTGGTTTAGTGGGGCATCCATGCGTAGATAACTGAGGTATTGGAATACCTGCGAGAGAGAGTGCTTTGTAGGGTTGGAATATTCAGAGTTACATTCTTGGAAGTTTCTATCTTCACTTGCGTAAAACCACCACTCTGCTGTTCTCAATGTCATCTTTGACGGCAACTGGAGGCCACTTGGTTGGTAAGAGGGTTGCATTATCCTCAAAAGGGGTTTTACGAACTTCCTCAGGCGGAGAACTTCTGAGAACACAGGCAGGATGGAAGAAGACTGCTAGCCACTCTTGCTTTCTCCATTCCACCTCACTCCCATCCTTCATTGCCTTTCTAGCTTCTCTTCTCTCTCCGGCACAATGCCAGTTTGGGTCTGTGCCCCAGTGTGAAGCAAAATATTACCTGTCCCATTCTGATAAATTTCAGAACTTGAGAGAAGTTAATCTAGAACAAAAGTTTTCACCCTCTCTCAAGCCACATGGACTCGAGCCACCTCTGGAATAATGTGTTAAATATCTGTATATTATATATATGTAGAGAAAAATCTAATTTTTTGTTTGATTTTCCTCCTTCCCATTGAGAATCTTGTTTTTTGATATCGCTGGTCTCCCCGGGACTCTAACTTGGACACATGTGGGTGTGCATTGGCGCTCTTGTGCTTTCCATCTTTCAGGGGCAGACAGGTTTGAACCTGAGCAGGATCACACCTGGCAGTTACTGAACAGGGATGTTGTCCATGGTTTAAATCATGGGATGCCTACTGCTGTCTGAACTGCTCTCCTAATTACCTGATTCTTGAACATGAAATCCTAACCTCTTCCCTGCCTCTTTTCTTTCTTTGATTAGGAAGCGTATGGGTAGAAAGTCAGGAGGGTAATTTCCAGTTTAATTCTGCTTCTGTCCAGCATATAGGATAAACTATCCCCAAAGAACTTTCCTCCTAGGATGTGGGGCTGAAACACTATCATGGGGGGGTGGGTAAGAACTGCTCCTGGTGGGTCCTGGCTTCCATCTCTGTGTGTTTTGTATTTGTTTTAGTTGTTCAGAAATCTAACCCCTGTGCAACCTACCCTTGGTTGAGGATCACAAATTGAGGTGCCTTCCTTATATGCTTTTTGTTAGTATTTTTTTGTTTTTGTTCCTTAACTGCTGAGCCTCAGCCAGTGTGGGTCCTGGGGGAAAATATCATTCCAGAAGAAGTCATCCCTCCAGGGAAATTGGATTGATGCTGGATAAATTAGTACTTTTACTCCAGCTACCCAGAACGTTCCTGCGTAGCCAGCTCTTCCTCTTCCACTCTCCGCACTACATTTTTGGCTTGATCCCCAATCAGATTCCTGCTAATGGAAGAAGCTTAGAGTCCTTGGGTGGAATAAAGTCACATCAAAACAAAACAAAACTATATATATTTTCAGTTTTTTTGCCTTATTGCTTTTTTTCCAAAAAAAAAAAAAAAACTACTAAATTAAATAATTTTTAAAAAGTCCTATTGTTTGTCTGATTTGCGTCTACTAGGCAAGAAGTGGGGTAGGGAGAGGGAGAACTGGTCCAGTGGTGTTTGTTCTGCTTGGGATTGTGGGAGCCCAGGAGCTTGGTCTTGAGAAACTGGAAGAAAACCCGATGTTTCCCCTGTACACCAACACTCTGGAGGGTCCACAGACAGAAGAGCATTTTACTACCACTTCAGTGTAAGGTGGCCGTCGATGTTCCACCATCATGTAGGGGAATAGTTGCTAGTGGTTTTGATACTGGAGGGGGTATCACCTCCAAAAATAAAAACTATTTTTTTTAGAGTTTTGCTATAGGGCATGTGTGCTCACCAGGAAGAGAGACAGTGAGATAGAGAAATCACCTATGGGGAGGATGGCCATGCCACAGTCCTTTCTCTTTCATTCTCTTGGGATTTTGGGCACGCATGCACATGTGCCTGGTCTGAGTTTCAAGATGCTAGGTTTGGGACTCAAACCCCAGTTGGCTACGTAGGAGTCCAGCAACATAACCATTATGCCATCTGCTGGTCCCCAAAACTTTTTTTTAAAAGAATTATTTAACTTTATGTATTTACTTATTTAAATTCGACCAGATATAGAGAGAGTATGTGTGGGGCGGGGGAGGTAGTGAGAAAGCAAGCCGCCACGTCCAGAACTCGAACTATAGTCAGCAGTGTGGGAGTCCAGCACCCTTGACCACCATGCCACCTGTCGGCCCTGCAAACAATTTTTTTAAAGCTTATTTCATTCATGAAAGTGTGTGCATACATGAGAGAGGAGAGAGATGCACCCTTAACGGGGTCTCATCACATCACGATTCCCTTCCCCCTAACCTCTGCAGCTCCTCAGAGTCTTGGGCACCCGTGTATGGGCCTGGTGTGTTTCCAAGCCAGCGTGGGAATCTGAACCCACAGTTCGCCATGTGGCTTCCAGCGTTGCAGTTCAGTTAGCTATCAACTATAACACCTACCGAGGCCTAATAATTGGGTTTTGGTTTGAAGACTTGGTTTGAAGATTTGAAGAGAAGTAATGACTGAACATGCTTGTTTAGGTTTGGTCTGTAAAGTTCAAGAGAGAATAGGTAAAGTTAGCAAGGGACCAGGAGAGTGCTCAGGTCAGAGCAGTAACAATTCCTACCTGGAGGGACCTCACATGAATGAGCATCTGCTTCTGTGTATAGGGTGCAGAGATAGGAAGTCTGAACATTTTCTGAGCTTACGCATAAGCTTTTAAGAGGAAAATGTTATAATTATTTTGAAGACAAGGAAAGTGCTGGAGCCAGTAAATGGCATAATGGTTACATCACTGGAATCCTATGTAGTCAACCATGGTTCAAGTCCTAGACCCAACGGCTTAAAACTTGCAGGGTGCATGTATGTACATGCCCAAAATCCCAAGAGGAGACTGGAGAAGTGATTGCAGCGTGGCTATCCCTCCTGGGGGTTGATTTCTCATTTTCTGTCTTTCTGTCTCTATCTCTTTGGCAAGCTCACACGCCCTATAGCAAAAATCTCTCAAAAAAAAAGGGGGCTAGCGGGTGGCATGATGGTTAGGATGCTGGATTCCCACATAGCTAACTTGTTCAAGCCCTGGACCTGGCAGTTTGCTTTCGCACTTCCTCTCTCTCTCTCTCTCTCTGTGTGTATGTGTGTGTGTCTCCTCTCTGGTCAAATTAAAAAATAATAATAAATTCTTTTTTAAAAAAAGGTGTTCCAATAAAATTTAAGTACATTTACTCAAGGTCACAGCTGATTGATTATTCACAGTGCTGGAATTCAAACGGGTTTGTTTAACCTCAGAGTTTGTGACCTCTATAACCCTATGCTCTGGGAGAAACTTTGGATTGCTCTCTCACGCGTGTGTGCACGCATCAAATTGAAATGAATGAATGAATAAAATGAAATAATTCTTTAAAGGAAAAGAAATGCTGATAAGTGAGTACTTTCCTCCTAGGTTATATCACATGTGATTTCCAGAGGCTTTGTAATGTGAACGGTGTGAGCTCCAGGCTCCATCTGAAGAAAGGGTAACCTTGAGAGGTAGCCATGCTCACTCCTTGTCTTCTCGAGGCTTTCATGTTCACAGTTAGGGATGTTGTCAGGAATTCTTTTTG